TACAATTAACAGAGTGAGTGTCCAGTTTGCACTTGTAGGCATTATGGTCCTTGCCATCACAACAAGCACACGTCGCGGAACCACGACAAGATGTTTTTGAGTGACCAAACCGCTGGCACTGAAAACATCGGAGAGGGTTGGGAATATAGGGCCATACCTTACAGTTCAAATAACCTGCCTTAATAGTGGCAGGTGGACATGGTGATGAAAACATCAAAATTAGAACTGAGGTCGGCACCATAATTCCATCTTGATGAGTGGAGATCCCTCGAACAGCTGAAACTCCTTGGCTGGAGAAACCAGCAAGGATCTCTGACTCGGGGATAGACTTCAAGACCCTCTCAACAATAACTCCTCGTGACGATTTCAAGGAAGCGTGGGGAGTAACCTCAATGGGTATATCCCCAATGGCCTTTGAATTCAAGGAGTTCACTGTGCTTAGCTGTGGATGTTTCAACCAAGATGTCTCCAGAATGGAGTTTCTTAACTGACTTTGGAGAGCCAGCAAGCCCTTCTGAATAAAAAAGGGAGACATTTGCCCTAAAGATTTATTGGACAGTGAATGCAGGATCAGGAAGAAAGGTACAGGTGTACCTTGTGATGGAGACTGCTGGTCAGAGTCATCTAAGCGTGGTCATTTACCAATTTGCAGATTTTTAACATTTTTATTATTTGGATTGGAGGGATCCATAATTAAAGAGAAAGATTCAGTGCCCACTGACCTCACCCGCCATGAAGTCCTACGAGGGGATGCACTACAATGTCAAACAACGACACTGCAGCAACGCCAGGATTTTGTGAGCACTATACCTAAACACAAGCATCAGACACAATGTCCACAACACCCGTTGAGAATGCCCAACACTAGTACTCAGTTGACCCTAGTCCGAGTGGACCAGCCGAATGACCCTGGGGGGGGCACCCGTCTACAGGAATTCAAGGCCAAAGTGGTGTGTTGCAGTGCCCCAGACACCACTCAACCACCAGGATCCTCTCCCCCCCTTCACTGGTCGCCACTCACGGCAAACACGTGGGTGGATGTTTAGATCCCAGAGAAAGTAACTGAAAATACAGAACCTTCCCTGGGAGGTCCCCTCACCACGTACAGGAATCCACGTCGAGGGGGGTTATGTCGGAGTTTAAGTGTC